ATACAATATCATATACATCAGCTACAACTTATCAATCACACTTTATTACGCTGTGTAGGTACATATTATATATTAAATAAATCACACAACTACCACTTTATACTGAACACAACTAGTTTGCAAAAGGCAGAAACAGAAAAGTGGAAATGGATAACTGTATAAACGAGCAGATGTGAATCTCATTTAACATCCTGTCGATGGGCGGGGAAACGTGAGGTAAATGCTAGAACGTAGTTATGCAAGAAGGAACTAGAGCCATTAATTCCGATCTACTCACAACAAGAAACCATTACGACACAGGAGAAGTAAGCGAAACCAGTAGAAACTTGTATAAATGAGAAGGGAGCACCTACTGTAAATAAGAGGGTGAGGTAATCATATCAAATGAACGGTGATCAAATGAATAAAATAAAGTGACCATTCATCGCTGCGGTAAATTTTGAAAAAATTACCAGATCAAATCTACGTGGTAATATATATTAAGCGGGCCGTATAATAGGATTAGCCAGCGTAGAAGCTGTTTGTTATTAAAACTGTCGAGGGGGGTGTACGATGAACCCGGCGCCATGAAAGACTACAGAAAATATCAATTTCTTTGGGAAATTCTGAGATTTAATACCAAACAGAGCGATAACAAACAATATGCATTATATGATGACGAAAGCAGATGTTCAGCTTTTCGTTATCATCACGAACAAAACATGATCTGAAGTAGGAACTCGAAAATATAGCGTACGAAATTTAATGAAGGAGTCCTGTCATGAAGGAATGTGACCTGCAGTGCCCTAAGTAGGGAATGTAGCGAACTTGTTCTAGAATACTGCAGAAGAGAACAAGATAGAACTGACGAAAGGTAACGCTAGAATGTGGAGTTAAACTTCGAGGGGTGGGTGGCAGGCGAACTGGGCAGGGCTAGTCCCATCTCACCTTGCTAACAGATACCGTACAAGTTTCATTAGCGGTTATCATGAACAAGGTCACTTAACCTAGACCGCAGAACGCGAAGCTTAGCAGCTACTTAGTCCCTCTTGATCAGCGGAGTGGACCTCAACCAATCACTGTGCTCCATCACGGCCACGTGATAGGAGTTATCCAATCAGAAGGCTTCATTTTGGTCACGTGACAGAGTTGATCAGACTTGGTATTGTTATGAACAGTACTCGCTTTTCAGACTGCTCTAAACGTTCGAATTATAGTCCCGGCAGGTCCGATTAAATGGAAATTAACGGATATTCAGGTTTAGATCAGGAGAAGAACAGGAAAACGAAAAACGAGACCAGCGAGTAACGAAACCTTGACCGCTGATCAAACCACGGCTACACTTAGGTCACTGCATACTTTAAGAGCTTCATGAGAACTGCACAGGACAAGCACCAGGGCTGTGGTCCACAAGGAATGAAATTTGAGGACTGCCCTTGATCGGTTTATAAGCATAGGGCGGGACGGAACGCCAGCTTGATGCTTCTAAGCTGCACATGTAGCCACAAACGAAATTGTGATTCCTAACGGCAGAGTGGACACATGACCGGTGTGAGTAGAGTTTCCCCGATCCACACGACAACTGGAACTAAGTAAAGAAAATGCCGCGCCTTTAAACACCACCACAACCACCCCACTAAAACATACCCAAAAGCTATTCAAATATAAAATATTCAAACCATAGGAACACCTCGCATTTGAAGATGACGTCAAGCGAACGAACATATGGTAGTTGCAAAGGTCCCTACCCTTGCAATACAACTGCGGAACACGTTAAATAGCTGCACTTGCAATCAGGCAACTCACAATGAACATTCGAATATTTCAATATGTCGCAGCAACGAGCTGACTAACATAATATGAGCGGCTGGGAAGGGCACACCCTCCGTTTATAGGAAGGCTACCAACACTGGCAACTCCACTTATCCTTCACCCCAAATAATTGATTTACTGATAAGGTGGATTATGGCATGGGAACGATGCGCGGGGCACTGCCCGGGTTGGTCAAGTACCGGCACTGGTTATAATTACTTAAGTATTAGCGAATTGATTATAAATGAAGGATGAATGACCTGGTAAAAACATGGGAGCTTTGATCGTAACTTGTCCGTGTCTCCCTAATGCAGCAGCATGGCGGCGGTCTGGGCGATAAGAGGCAATTTCCCTATCACTCAAAGACTGGAGTGGGCATTTTCTTGGTAATTCTCCAACTATTCATCGGTCACACTGATCGTGATGCAATCAGTAATCGGTAAGCGCGGGAGAGAGTGTTAATGCTGATATCATCTCTTTTTCGACCACGGTTTGGTCAAATGAGATGACAATGATTGATGAAGTGCGCACGTCCTATTAATGACGTGGGACGTCAAAAGATCAAAGGCAAAAGGTTTGCACAAAGTGAAGGTTTGCGAGAGACTGTAATTTCTCTGAGAACAAAGAAACTACTCCTCTTTTTAAGAACACTAAGAGAAAGAGAAATATCTCAAGCTCTGTTTGACTTTAAATTAGCACGAAAAACGCCCAAAGGGCGATAAAGCAGTAAAAATGGTCTGAGAAGAACAAAGTTTCCCGAAAAAATGCGGAACGCCGAGAACCCATAGTTCTCAAACAGCAGAACCACACATGAGAAGTTCACCAGACACAGAAAGCACACAAAGTTTAAAACATCAGTTCAACATATCCGACCGACTGGTCAGTGTCTGTTGTAGTTAAGCAAACTGTGGACGAGAACAGCACTGAGAGAAAAGCGTTAAGGTGTTAACACGACACTCAAGTTAGGAGAGCTCCCACTTTCAACTTGTGTGGAGAGAGAAGGATAGTGGCGAGCAGAGAGAGAGAGAGAGAGAGAGAAAGAGAGAGAGAAAGAGAGAGTCGAGAGAGAGGACTGACCACGCCCTATTTTGACAGGTGATAAAAGGCTGCAGCTCACTGTCCATGCTCTCACTAACACTGCCAATTTTACTGATTTTTCCTACGATACACATTGTACGAACTATGCACGGTATGTGCTGCTGAAGAATGTTACCTGAGAAACAACTGATATGAAGTGCAGTGCTGAAGATCAACTTCTGAAGACGATATAACATCTCGTGCAGGGCTGCTTGATGGCGGCTATGAGACCAGCGATTATTTGGTGGTGATGACGACGATCAGGTCGCAGACTACGAAGCAGACAGGCAAGGTAGACTCGGGCACAAAAGTATGTCGAGTGATGCTTTGCTCTGATCGGCTCTTTGTTATCACGTGATCGAGTTTCTTTGTTCTGATTGGTCGGTGATTGTCACGTGATCGTGATTTAGACGTTTGGTTGGTCTGATGAGGATAGAGATCGACAGACAATGCAGTGCAGCATTTCAGGAAATGGGCGCGGTATTCAGTTATCAAAGTAAAACTTAATTACACGCTCAATAAAAGATGTTTCTGCCGTTGTTACTATTCACTGGAACACTTATAAAAGTTTGGCGATTTTTGGCTACATTCTTTAGACCATATGCACACTGGAAGGTCTTACTGAGAATTCCAAGGACCAAATGCCAGCCATTGATAATAAAGAATACCGGCGTCGAACATACATGTATTACAAAAATATTTCAGAATCAATTTCTCTAACTGGCTGCAACAATTCCAATAAAATTATTCATGTATACAGGATGAAGGATCAGACCGCACGCGCAGACACGTAACCGAAGAAAATACGTCAGAACCATGATTCAGATTTCAAGCATAGCTCGTTAAATTTATGCAAAAATCTGGTGACACTCTACGTCCGATCCGATCCAGTTTGAAACCGGAGCTGAGATTAGAGAATGGGAACACAAACGCTACAAATTAGGGTTTGTTACACTAGGTGCCAATCTACACATGCTCAAAATAGAGATAACGACCCTTTCTTTTGGCACCTAGACCCGCGTGTCATCGTGATTTTCCCGCCCGGCCATTGGTGGAAAACCAGAAACAGGGCTTCCCTGATTGGCTGTTCGAGTCAAGAAGAGCAAAGCAGGAGCGGGAGAGAGAGTACGATGATGTTCCGAAAAGTGGAGGCTAATTAACGGCGATCACCCTGCCCGAGAGTCATTGTACGTTTTCACTCCGTTATAGACGGTTACACCGCCGTTAATGACACAGAACGTACTTGAAAATCCAATTTCCGGCAATCACGACAGAACGTTTGTCGTGCTAGTTAAATTAATGCGTTTCCACGGAAGCCTTGTCCTACAGCTACTTATCTTATGGTTTGTACTAATTACTCTAAATTATTACCGGTAAGGAACGCGGTTTCTCATATAAATGTGGTTGTAACACCGCTGATATTTCTAATTCAGGATACACACACGCCCTGATAGAATATTCTAGAACCCAGGATAGCGTCAGGGTAGTTAACTGGAGTTAGCGTGTCCCAGGGGCCTAGGAACAGAAGAATAATTGTACAATATGGGACTCTAAATCATATCTTAACAGTCATAATTATTTGTGAGTGATGTTGTGGCGACGGTGTTTCAGTTGCCTGTAATTATGTGTGCCAGACTGACCCTATTTAAGAAAAGCTTCACGGGATATTCTGATTTACTGGTCGTATTAGGGCAGACCAAATAATGAGAATTTTATCGGTAAACAAACTGAAATCTTCACAGTCACAGCAACTGTCGCATACAAATAACAGTTTATCTACAAAATGTTGCATTTATCCCAGGCATTTTGGGACTAGTTTTTATCTGTGAAGAGGAGTGCCAGAGAAACACGCGGCGCCACAGTCGTTTCATTGGATTGACGTAAATATAAGAGATAATAAAGCAAAAGGACGTGAATGTCTGGTATATGACATCACAGTGAGGGCATATGACGTGAATAAACCAATAAAATGGAAGTTATGTTACATAAATTGAATGTATGAAAATATTCAGACAATTGTTGAACATTTCTTTAACAATTGTAAACGCCCATTGCCCATGGTTAATAACAGCTCCGAAATACCAATGTCAAAATAGCAACACAGATAAACAAAGGAAGAAGTGAGGACTGACCGTGACGTAACATGTCGTCTACCATCGCCTCCGTTATCCTGCCGTGGAACCACCTGAAGAAAACGGTCGTTGTTAAAATCCACATTTAAACGCTCGACAGTTTTTTAAGCTGACTGATATGACGAACAGATATGATTAGACACAGGCCGCCTAGGAGGGAGGGGGTCTAGGTCGAGATAGGGTATGTTGTGTTGAAAATTATCATTAACCTCGTCGAGTATTTCTCATCCAGAGATTGAAGAGAACCAGATAAGCTTGAAAGGTAGGACACAGAAGCAGATAGCCTCTGTCTGCTGAGAAGACAAGAAATAGAAAGGAGGCTACACCCTATCATTTCAAACCGAGTACTATGCTAACAAATAGGCTACAAGAACAATACAAAATGCAAAAGTGGGTAACTAATGTCTGCATCCAAGCCAATGGCAGACGTTTTTAGTCGACGGGGTATTAACATGAAGCCGAATAAGAATATTTAGTAAGGCAGCACGTACGCCTGCATCAATTACAAAATAGTGCATTGCATTATGGTGTGATTTTTGATACCAAACCCGACTCAATTCTCAAATTTCAGGATTATTTCACCAACAGACTGCTTTAGACCAGACATTTCAGGGCGACAGTTCCGAAGACATGGCTTCTGTAAACCGATCATAAATAAATAACGTCGTTCAGTAATCAAAAAGTAATGGAAAGTTGATCTGTTCAACGGTTGTATGGATGTATTATAACTCACTCGTATTTGTAATAATCCTCGTCTTCGTGCGGGATTTCCTGCACCAGAACCCTCAGAATGAGACCAGTTTCCCCAGACTTCTCTCGGCGTCCCCGAATATACCGACAGTCCTCGCCGTCCAGAATGTCGTCAGTTACAAATATGTCTCCCAACTTGAAACTGAAATTGGGAGATGATAAATGTTTCCTACCCTTCGTTTGTGCTATTATTAGCAGTTGAACATATTTACATAACATGTGTTATGGGTATTTTGCAAGGATAATAGCAGGCCAGAATTAGGAGATGTGAAATGTATCGTTTTTTGCATATTAGAGTTTTAGCCACTGGTAGGTTGGTCTGCACGGAGCCCCACAGTTTCAATTCCTTGTTTAACTAGCCGTACAGCAAGAATATCCACTGTGTTCACCAGGTTAGGCACATAACCAACACTATTCTGCCAAAGTCACCCTGCCCAAAGTTAGCTTTGAGGGCGAAAAAAGCTTTGATAACATACGTTCACAAACGTTGCGTTGGTAAGCGCGGTGATTCAGAATTCGCGGTTAAATGTTAAGCTAATACGTCATTGGGAACGAACGGTATGCCTCACTTTGCCTAATTTTGCAAAATTAGGGCATTTTAATGGACCTATATGCACCATTTGAGGATTAAGAATTTTATCAATACAAGACTATTCTCAAAGTTTGGCTGATACTGCAGACTGATGTCTCCTGAAGTTCGAAACATTTGATAACGGAGTCTATTCAAAAGGGCCTTTTAATGAGCCTATGTCAAGTAATATGAGCCTAGATTGGGTGGTTTGTTGTTGCGGATTAATGAAGATGTGATTTGAACTCAAGGTAACGTGATATTATTATTCGCTAAACCACCGAACATGTGTTAATATTAGACAGTGATGTATAAGATAGGCGTGGTCGCCGCGCCCTTCCTTAAAAAATCAAATACGCGACAGAGGTTTGTAGAACCCAGAGGCCGCGCCTTCTGCCGAAAAATAATCTTAATTACCAGACCTCCTTCTCGAACGTGCTTCCTATTATCAGAAAAAAACGGGCATTTCCTGCAATTCTACCATTCGGCCGGGCCAAGATAAGAGTAAGATTTGACATCTTAATCGAGAGATAAGTCAATTAAAATAAACTCGTGCGCGCGCAATTTTCCTTAGCGCGGGAACTCTCTTTACTCAAAATGCACAGCGAGCGACGTAAGATGACACAACCGTATCTTGTGTGTGCCCACATGAAGCCCAGTAAGTCGAAGTCTTTCGTTTTCGTCAGGGCTCAAATTGGCCTGAGCTATTCGATAATATATATGAATTAGTTTGTGCAGGTAGCAGGATAGCACAACATATGATACGTTATGAAGAGAATAATTGACTCAAAATAAGATATGGAGTACGAAACACGTGTCTGCCGTATGTTAAAAAACTCCCGAAAACTTTGCAATACAGCTCGAGTATTAATTTTAAATTAACCCGATGGCGAGGTCCAAGAATGAAGATGGCTTACCTGAGGACGTCCTGTGACTCATCTTCCTTAGGAATGTAACTCGCTTTGGCCTTTAATCGCTTCTCTCGAGGAACTGCCTGAAAATGTTCAAGAGATATTATTCCGAGTCAAGCGGAAGGTCGCCCAGATATATCTTGATACCAGATATATTGACTGTTCGAGGCATCAAGTTTAACTTCGTAGAAGTAAGCGTTCTTCAGAACTCGTGGCACTTTCGATAAAATACAATCAGCTTTTAGTACCTAGACTCAGAGGTATATGGATATTACGTCTAAAGACTATGAGGACTAGAACATCGATATATAGGTATTTTAGAGTGGAATATCATACCGGGACATGTATTAATGAGTAATGTGTATTCACTTGTGAAGTAGAGACAGAACGAGTGAGACCCGTACTTTCCTGCAAAGTTGCGCCACAGCCAACCCCCTCAATTGGTTTGAGAGTCAAGAGTGCAGTTGATGACTATAAACCTCGATACAACACAAAGATCGGAACAATTGCTAGACGGTATAAATAATAAATACACATAAGCGGAAAGTGAAATGATGGGATATCACTTAGTCGTTATTTATACCCTAGAGAGATCACGTGTGACTTTGACGGAAACTTGTGAAAAGAAGCCTTAGTGTTGGAAGCTCCGATTATAAAGGTTGCTAGAAAGTAGCGGTGGGTTTTCTAGATGTGGAATATATAGATTAGTCGTTTAGTGGGATCTAGAAAGAAGATAATATAATGTATAATATCCGTTGATACTTTATGTGTATTATACACTAGCTCCGTCTATATTATTGTTTTATTTGATACAGGCGAGAGTTCATAACGTACTATATCATGGATCTTTATCAAATTGAAGATGATATATTGTCACCAGGATTATTGTCGCCCTGAAGCCACTTTCCCAGTAGACACTGTTGTGTAGGTGACCACTGTGTTCCCAAACCATAAATATCAGGCATGTAATAATTGAGCAATTTGTGTTGATAATATGTTGATAATATGTTGCTTTTCAACTATCAGCTCTTAGTTTGTAGTTGATATTTATCACAATACTATAAATATAATCTTTATAAAGAACAGGGTACAACAGAATCAACGCATCGATAATAACGTCAAGCATCAAAGTGGGCAAGACCACACGTGCAAATTAAAAATTTCGGTTAGATTCGTGCGCAATTATATATTCATTATTTGGCGTTGTTTCTTTGTATGAGATCTCGCGTTTGTGCCTAGTGGCCTTGTTAAGTACCTGTTAAGTTCTCAGGCATTTGCTTATCTTACAAAACATTGGTTTGGTATTTTTAGATGTTTCTCATCCGGAAACTGAAAATAATTTTGATTTGTCTGATACATAACATAGTATTTGTTATCCCATTATCTGCTGTTTATAATGCCATAAATAGCCCGCTTCAGTTGGAGAAACCATTGCATTAGTTTGAAATGATATGCGAATATTTGTGGTAATATTGTGGATAGTATGTTCACTTTGAAAATAAAGGTTTGGAATTCGTCGTACAAGTTTTGGTGGTGGTGTAAGGAATGTTGCGACGTTAAATTTGATACAGTATATTTGATACAGTACTTGTTGAAGCGCCAGAAGTAGCGAGCACGCTGTAAAGGGTGCCCATAAAGTGGTTTAGTGTGTGGCAAAGTAACCAGCTATCAGTAACATCTTTACACCAGAAGTGTGGAATGTTCTGGAGTTCTACCAAAGCAGTATGGTTGAGGGAAAGCTAGAATACTCCTGCAGTAAAGCCATACAATCTTCGCAAGCCCTCCACGATGCCTCGTTCACTCTTCCCGAATGATATAGATGACTTTGGAAAGATCCAAGGTCCATGTTGGGAATTACTTAGACGCCATACCAAATAGTCTTCCCAGAAGAGATACTGTACAGAAGAGATACTGAACAGCAAAACCACATTCCACAACAGTGCTTAGAATGATAAATGAACATTTACCGCCGACATCACCTTCTTGGTGTCTTGCGTAAACAATTTGGTCACTTCTAGCTATTTGTTACATAACCTAATCCATTGTCTAGCAGCAAGCAGCCACTGATAATTACACGTTTTAACGTCCAAATCAAAGTATGTAACAATTAAACCAGTATATAAAGATTTCTGAGCATTTGGGCCAGAATTGTGGATTTCTTGTTAAATATTACAGTGGTTCTAAAATCACTACAATTTTCTTTCGCTGTAATATTATCGTTCTTTCAGAAAAGACTCATTAAGGACGATGTTTTATAACTACGTGAATAGAATATCATCTTTAATAAGTCAGAAACAACCGCAATTTTAGAATGAAACATCACCTGATTAAAACATTTCACAGCTAAATCACACATTACAAGCTTAATGATGGTACCAAGTAAGCTTAATAAGTCGCCAACAATCGTATGAAGTGTAACGTATAAATTGATGAAAGTAATCAAAATGATTATCAGGAGCAAATCTGTTTGAATGTCAGATTTGTGGCATTACTGGTGGCTTTGAGATGGGTCCACAAATGCGATACGTGGTATACTTACTTCATGGAAACGTTACTGTTTGGATCGTTACCGCACGATTACCGGTTCAAGAGGCTTCCACTCACTATTAACACTTAACAGGTAACATGTTCACAATCCATGTTGAAGTTTGGGAATTGGGGAGGCACTTTACAGGCAATATAAGATAAGGGCATTACAACGTTAAATTGGTGAGAAAGAAGACAGAAGGAAGAAAATTACCATTGAATGTTGCTTTGTTACTAAGATAATGCTAATTATTGGTATTATTAAACGAACACGAAAATTTAAAACAACCTTAAGTGTTTTTGACACAATATTTTGACATCCCAATAAACTTGTATATTTATAAAAAGAGTATTATCCAAAGAAGGACAGTTAAAACCCCGATTGTCAGTTTTCTTCAATCGGTAACACGGCGTTGTTAAACACCGTTGGCCAACACAAGATGGCGCTAAATTACAACCCAAGGCCGCTAAATTAGGTCCCTCTGTTAATTTTGGCCAGCACTGTAAATCAGAAGCCTCCTTTCGCAGAGCCGCGATAGCTTTTATAGGCCGAACAATTGAAGGGCATCTTTCATGACGTCATATTAAATGCCCACATTTGGGCATTTAAAACTCACCTGATAATATAGTTGCCCATATTTGGGCAAATAAAACTGGCCTGTCAGTATGCCTACTTTAAACTGGTGCTCTAAAAGAATGTAATGATCTAATGGCTGTAACTGCTGGTGGGAAGGTGATGCACCTTGTTTTGACAGGTGACAGGTCTGAAGTGACGAGTAATAACTGTGGCACTGGAGTCATGTGTCAAAACATATATAATATAAATATACGACATATAAATATAATATAAATATACGACGTATATAAATATATATTAAATATATACTGCACTTACAACTGAGAACTAATACTCACAACTTAAAAGTTACGAGTATGTTTATTAGTTACTTAGTGTGTACAAGGATAAGTTTACTACAACTGGGTAGATGAAAGACACCCCCGAAAATTAGTTAAGTTTGTGCCCATAGGTTCTGGTTAAGACTCAAAATTATAAGAAACTAGTACTCAAACATGACTTTGGTAGGGTATAGTAGTAGTAGTAGTATAGTATAGAAAATAATCATCGTAACGCAAACCAGCGACAAGTTCAGCGCAACACATCTGCATGAAAATAACTTTGCAAACGCTACCAATGTACCATTACGAATAAGCCATCCATTGCACAGCGTGGAGGATGGAGATACACCATATTAACTAGACCTAACTCAACCCACACTACCGTTATTCTTAACAATACACGAAAAAAGAGAAACAAATGAACCAATTAACTAGTTAATTAATAGTACTTACCCTCTTGGGGGAGAGAGGAGACTTGAGGTATAAACCAGCCAAGAGTGGAGACACTTGGCTGAAATATCCAATTATGCTACTCAACGTTGGGAATTTGTAGATACTGATGTAGTATTCACCTAAGATCGTTTTTATCCTGAAAATATCGAGTGTTACGTTTGTGATGATGAAGCTCGTTTTTATTTAGATGGCAGCGATCTGATTTATTTGGCGGCTCGTTTATGTTTCAGTATATTGTACGCAACATTGCTGGCAGGCTGGCAAACCTTCTTGCCAACACACGTCATGTTGACGTAAGCGTACAACTACTTTTCAAGTAAGCCTTGACTTTGAGAGACTACAATACACTGTCACATATTCCAGCCGGCGGGTGACGTCACACTGGTGACGTAACAAACTGCAAATGGCTGTAATTTTATTGTGATGCATACTTTCTGCTTCACAGAAACTATGAATAAAACAGACGATGTATTAACGTTTGATCTTAAAATAAACAGAACTCTTGAATCATGGATGAAAATGTTTGTTAACGTAGATTATTTAAACTCAGTGTCGCAGGTATATCCTAATAAGAATATGAGTCCGTCAATGATACCTTCCAGATATTATGTCACTTGACGTCACGTACTGTCACGTACTGTCACGTACTGATGATATATTGCTTGGCACATGCTACTGTTTTCAGACTCACACAAGGAAAAGTCAGACTGAGAAGTAACGTAGCAAAGAATGGTGTCATTATATTTATCATACTATGTATCGTGTATACTCTAGTGTTGAACGTTTTTATACCCCATTAAGTTGACGGTTACTCCGACTTTTGAGTTAACCCGCTGTGAAATTATATATCCGTCATGTGCACTTAAGATAACAGTTCATCAGCTCCGTCACAATTAATTCTAATCAAACCAACCCCAAAATTCAGAAAAAGTGATCACATCGAAAACATGGTGTCAGTTTCACTTTAGCATATAAAGTTTAAATTGAGTAAATTTAATTTTAACGTTAGAATACACTGTGCAATTAATCAGAGCTAGAGATTAACGGATTATCTGATAAAAGATTGTCGAAGGATTAAACCTTGAATTTCTTTCTATTATGTCTGAGATCTCCCCAATTAGGAGCATTAAAAGGGCGACAAACAATTCCAATCTACACAATTTGTCTCGTTATATACTATGTATCATTTTCGTGTGTGGTAATAAGATCTCATAATCATTAATAATAAACTTAACTCAACCTCAAACGCTTTGTTCCGGTGTTTTATTGTGATCCGAATAATTGGAATTATATCACGCACTGTAAAATACAGTGACCGTAGATTATTTCAAATCAATTCCGTGTTCCCTTCTAACTCTCAGTAAATATTTGAAAGACAGGTTTGGTGCGTTTCTAGTGCTTTATCAATTGACTAACTGAGCTAAGTAACATCAAGTTCACTTTCTTTCACACACAATGCTTGCCACGTGGTGTCACGTGACGTCACCACGTGGTCACCAAGCTATTCCTAGCGTATTTTAAATAGCTTTATATCTGACATTCACTCGACTTGCCGGCTGAAATGGACTATACATAAATGTGATATCATTGCAAAAAAATGCTCATTCAATTAGAAGGGACTCTAAATCACCCTAGTGTATGTATATTTTTTGAGATGGTAATAAAATGTGATGACAACACTATAATGTGATCTCTATCTCCCATGGCTGGAACCTGAAATACTGGACCTGTGCCAGACGCTGTGGGTATGGCATGTTCGTGACTTTCTCTCCTGTATTTATACACTATTTGTCTGTCGTCAGCGGAGAGAGACTGAGAGAGAAAGGACCAATATATACAAAATATACGGAGGTGATCTAATGGAACATACCGTACTGTTGGCCTGTGATCTCATTCAATTGATTTTAGTGATGAAATATTACAATTTTATTGTGCATATAACAATAATATCTATAGAAATAAAGGGAAAGGTACCGGTCAGTGAAATTTACGTAGCACAAATAAAATGCATTAATTAACTGACAGTCTCCCATATGTTTGCCCACTTAAAAGGGTTGCGTAGTAGACTTTTTTTGGGGTACCGTCTGTTAGATAATAGATTTAGCAAAGCCGCGTTTACAGTTCGGATAAATTTAGGGCATAATCGCGCTTCTGTTGGGAAAACACGGGGCCGCTGACCGTGGCAAGAACTAGCACAATCAGAAGTGTATATACTGTATCAGAACATACTATTTCCAATCAGAAAGACGCAGGGCGGGTGAAAAGTTTAACTTTTTTCCTTAGAACCTGACAGAGATGGAAGATGGTAAATGTTTCCTTACCGAAAGTACGAACCAGCCAGCATGTTGAGTTTTTAAAACTTGGGCCCGTTGAAACGTGGTAGACATAGAAATGTATCCTGGTCAGGAATAGTCTTCATGTGAAATTACAGCTCCATCGACAGACGCAATAAGCTTTATAACCAGGCCTTGTGTTAAAAGTAGCTGTATTACAGCACAGTAGCCTGGTGGCCCACTGTGTACAGCATAACAAACTAGTTTATTACAACACAAGTGGTGAAAGAACTGGCTAATTTTAGTATGAACTAGGTTACAGGGGGATATTTTAACTGCGTGCGAGATGTTAAGCAGCGTTCTGCACAAACAGCTCCGCCGATCGGTTCTCTCCTAAAATAATCATATTATCCACACTAACTGGCATTAGTAAAGTTATTGTTCCTCTTTACTCAGATATTTATAACTTGACACTACTAACTACGAGTCATCAAAGTATAACCAACATAATTTCCAAATAGATCACCTTCAAAAGACGCGCTATCTCTCCCAGCTTGCCCCTGCAATCTCCGCTTATCATTCAGCTATGTAAGGAATCTGTAGTATTGTATCGTATTACGAGTAAAAGCAAAGAAATTAAAGCAAGCAAGAGGGGGTAAAGGAATGCGGGCACGCAGCATAATAATATGTGGAGCATTTACAGGCTACAGGGTTACGAACCGGTTTTAAATTGAGATAATGGACCGGTGACAAAGTGGCCGAGAAGGCTGGACTATCCTCCGCAGCAAACACACTACTAACATACAGAGACAGTATTCTTGTGTAAACATAAACAAAGACAATCTCTCCTTAAACAAATCGTCATGAAAGCATTACCACATGCAGCTGGGGGAGGGGGGCCGGGGGGGGGGGGGGCACATTTACTGGCACTTTTGGAAATTTGCAATGAAAAATGACGAAAACAATGGAACCCCCAATGACATAACAAACACAGTCGCTCCTACAACTGAAGTACTTTCTGCTTGGTAATCAACACTGCACTAGTTGGATGAGTGTTATATATAGACTTTCTAACCACGCAGCCTGAAACAATCCCGGAACTAAACCGGTCTAAATAGATTTCACTGGATAACAAATATATGGTCAAAAATATGTCATTTTACCGGTTAAAACAGGTCATTTTACGGTTCAAACAGGTTATTTTACCGGTTCAAACAGAGCATAATAATGTAGGCTGGACGATTTTGACTGGCATCAGAACCGTCGCCAAGTGCTTGCCTTACTGACTACCAAAATATGAAATAAAGCTCATCTATTAGGAGAGACTATCAGTGCTTATATCTTCTTGACAAAACCTTGGAAATGGACACGTTATCATTTATCGGACGTGTTATCTGAGACATTGTTGATCTCAACAGATCAACAAATAGTGCTTTATAATGCGTTAGTATCTTATCTCAACAAAAATAATGTTCCACACCGACAAAGAAATTATGACTCGATCAAGAAATGAACCACACCATACCAACTTTTGACGGATAAGCTCACCCCACACAAAGTTAAAATCGACTATTTTTAGTAGCTGATATTTAATAAAGATCTGTTTATTTATCAACTATTGCAGCTACATAACCTTACATAGTCATCACAGCGGTATTTAACTTAGTAAGCTAAGTAATGGAGCGAGAAGTGTTACCTAACCCCGCGAGAAGTGTTACCTAACCCCGTGAGAAGTGTTACCTAACCCCGCGAGAAGTGTTACCTAACCCCGCGAGAAGCATTACCTAACCCCGTGAGAAGCGTTACCTAACCCCGCGAGAAGTGTTACCTAACCCCGCGAGAAGTGTTACCTAACCCCGCGAGAAGTGTTACCTAACCCCGCGAGAAGTGTTACCTAACCCCGCGAGAAGTGTTACCTAACCCCGCGAGAAGTGTTACCTAACCCCGCGAGAAGTGTTACCTAACCCCGTGAGAAGTGTTACCTAACTCCGCGAGAAGTGTTACCTAACCCCGCGAGAAGTGTTACCTAACCCCGTGAGAAGTGTTACCTAACCCCGCGAGAAGTGTTACCTAACCCCGCGAGAAGTGTTACCTAACCCCGCGAGAAGTGTTACCTAACCCCGCGAGAAGTGTTACCTAACCCCGTGAGAAGTGTTACCTAACCCCGCGAGAAGTGTTACCTAACCCCGCGAGAAGTGTTACCTAACCCCGTGAGAAGTGTTACCTAACCCCGCGAGAAGTGTTACCTAACCCCGCGAGAAGTGTTACCTAACCCCGCGAGAAGTGTTACCTAACCCCGCGAGAAGCTGTTACCTAACCCCGCGAGAAGTGTTACCTAACCCCGCGAGAAGTGTTACCTAACCCCGTGAGAAGTGTTACCTAACCCCGCGAGAAGTGTTACCTAACCCCGTGAGAAGTGTTACCTAACCCCGCGAGAAGTGTTACCTAACCCCGTGAGAAGTGTTACCTAACCCCGCGAGAAGCGTTACCTAACCCCGCGAGAAGTGTTACCTAACCCCGCGAGAAGTGTTACCTAACCCCGCGAGAAGTGTTACCTAACCCCGCGAGAAGTGTTACCTAACCCCGCGAGAAGTGTTACCTAACCCCGCGAGAAGTGTTACCTAACCCCGCGAGAAGCATTACCTAACCCCGCGAGAAGTGTTACCTAACCCCGCGAGAAGTGTTACCTAACCCCGTGAGAAGTGTTACCTAACCCCGCGAGAAGTGTTACCTAACCCCGCGAGAAGTGTTACCTAACCCCGTGAGAAGTGTTACCTAACCCCGCGAGAAGCGTTACCTAACCCCGCGAGAAGTGTTACCTAACCCCGCGAGAAGTGTTACCTAACCCCGCGAGAAGTGTTAC